GGAGCAAGAGGCTACTAGGGGCTCCTGGCCTTACTACTAGGAGCAAGAGGCTACTAGGGGCTCCTGGCCTTACTACTAGGAGCTGCTAGGGGCTCCTGGCCTTACTACTAGGAGCAAGAGGCTACTAGGGGCTCCGGGCCTTACTACTAGGAACAAGAGGCTACTGGGGGCTCCTCACGTTGCTCCTAGTAGCAAGAGGCTACTAGGGGCTCCTGGCCTTACTACTGGGCCCCTGGCCTTACTACTAGGCAAGAGGCTACTAGGGGCTCCTGGCCTTACTACTAAGAGCAAGAGGCTACTAGGGGCCTTTGGCCTTACTTCTAGTAGCAAGAGGCTACTAGGGGCTCCTGGCCTTACTACTCGGAGCAAGAGGCTACTGGCCTTACTACTAGGAGCAAGAGGATACTAGGGGCCCCTGGCCTTAGCACTAGAAGCAAGAGGCTACTAGGGGCTCCTGGCCGTACTACTAGTAGCAAGAGGCTACTAGGGGCTCCTGGCCTTACTACTTGGAGCAAGAGGCTACTAGGGGCTCCTGGCCTTACTACTAGGAGCAAGAGGCCACTTGGTGCTCCTGGCCTGACTAGTAGGAGCAAGAGGCTACTAGGGGCTCCTGGCCTGACTACTAGGAGCAAGAGGCTACTAGGCCCCTGGCCTTACTACTAGTAGCAAGAGGCTACTAGGGGCACCTGGGAGCAAGAGGCTACTAGGGGCTCCTGGCCTGGGGCCTGGCCTTACTACTAGTAGCAAGAAGCTACTAGGGGCTCCTGGCCTCACTACTAGGAGCAAGAAGCTACTAGGGGCCCCTGGCCTTACTACTAGTGGCAAGAGGCTAGTAGGGGCTCCTGGCCTTACGACTGGGAGCAAGAGGCTACTAGGGGCCCCTGGCCTTACTACTAGGAGCAAGAGTCTACTAGGGGCTCCTGGCCTTACTACTAGTAGCAAGAGGCTACTAGGGGCTCCTGGCCTTACTACTAGGAGCAAGAGGCTACTAGTGGCCAGGATCCTGGCCTTACTACTAGGAGCAAGAGGCTACTAGGCGCTCCTGGCCTTACTACTAGGAGCAAGAAGCTACTAGGGGCTCCTGGCTTTACTACTAGGAGCAAGAGGCTACTAGGGGCCCCTGGCCTTACTACTAGGAGCAAGAGGCTACTAGGGGCTCCTGGCCTTACTACGAGTAGCAAGAGGCTACTAGAGGCTCCTGGCCTTACTACTAAGAGCACGAGGCTACTAGGGGCTCCTGGCCTTACTACTAGGAGAAAGAGGCTACTAGGGGCCCCTGGCCTTACTACTAGGAGCAAGAGGCTACTAGGGGCTCCTGGCCATACTACTAGGAGCAAGAGGCTACTAGGGGCTCCTGGCCTTACTACTA